CATGATTGAATTCTCGAAGAGCTTTATTCATTTATAATCGATGTCTAAGTAATTTTTGAAGATAAAAATAATAAACAATATACGTTTGTGAAAGTAAAGCCTGAATATTTGGATGGTTAACAATTTCTTAAATGAGATTTTCTGTTTTTTAGTCAAAAAATAAAAGTATTTTGGCATAAAGAAGACTGCTATAGTTTTTAGCGGGCAATTCAACCCTCCAAAAGAAAATAATTAATCAGAAAATGTAAAATTTTCTTATCTCGGATCAGCGCAAAGTGAAGAAAAACCAGGCAAAATGTGAAAATACAAAAAAACGAATGTTTAAATCCGTCTTGTAGCACTAATTAATGGTGTTGATCAACAGACAAATTTAGTATTATATGCTCTATAATAAAAATAAAGTACTTGTCCATTGTGCTAATTAAGATGACATCAAAAATGCGCAGACTGTATATATTATATTATTTTTAATATCAATAAAGCTGGCCCTGGTGGCTCAATTTCACATAAATAATCAGTTTACTTTTGCGTGTAAATTTCGTGAAATTTTATTTTATTGTATTTACATTACTCGTGTATGATCGAAATTTTTTGGGTAGAATCGAAATAACGATATAAAAAATAACCAATACTTATTTACACGATCGCGTTAAAATAAAAATGGCGAGGTCACCGGACCCCTTCTTTATTTTATAAAAATTGTTGCCAGAACGACAACAAACAGATAACAAATATTTTATTTATAATAAAAAAATACAAATAAAAAATTATTTAAAATATTGTGCTAAACCAATCGCTCTGATTTGCTCTTTTCGTTGTTTTAGCATAAAAATTTGCTTATCATCCACGGATAACTTATAGTTATACATCCAAGTTATAAAATAGCTTTTTTCATCCTTGAAACTTATGGGGTGTAATTCTTCTCCAGTCGTCGCATTCATAAAAACTACATCCGTCGACTCATACGGCTTATCATTTTTATCTACAAGAAAAATCCTCGCGATATCACCATTTATCCCTTCGACTGTTACCTTGATATTCTCGTTACTGGTATCAAAAATTTTTGTTTGTTTACTCATATATGAAAAAATGTTTTCAGACATTGTAGCTGTTAAGGAAAATTATTAATATATAGACCTATAATTGTATTTCTGGTACGTAAAAAAAATCGAATATAATGCATGCCTTAGAAATAAATTGTGGTATGTAAGCCTTTTGATAAAAAATATATACGAGCAAAAAATAACGTTATTGCTAACTTATCTTTAGGTGGAAACTTGCTTATTTTTATAC